AAAAAAAAAGAAATTGGAAATGCAAGAAATATATATATATATATAAAAACATTAAATTGAATAAAACGGATTTTTTTTTTTTTTTACCTCGTTGCCAAGATTTTGATGTGGAAAGTGAAAAATATTGGAAGGAGATGAGTTTTTATGAAGATTTGGTGTAGAAAGTGAATAAAATGGTTAGGTATTTATAGGGAAAAAATAAAGAATTTTTTGGTATTTAAAAAAAAATTCAGAATTTTTCAGAATTTTTTCGAATTTTTTTCGAATTTTTTTGGCAAAAAAAAAAAAAAATCTGTTTTACTGTGCGCTGACGTCAGCGTGACGCCAGCGCTGACGTCAGCCAACTCGGGCTTCAGCCCGGGCAAGACTTGCCCTTGGGCTTGCTCGGGCTCGTGGGACCCGCCACCAAACTGGGCTACGGGCCCTGCGCTGGAGTGAACTCGGGCTGCGTCGGGCAGCCTTTCCCCCCTAGCCCGACCTGCGCTGGAGATGCTCTTATAGAAGACACTAAACATTTGTGTGCAGACTTGTATTATTTTAGGCAGAAGGTCCAGACCAAAAAAAAGGTAGAAGGTCAAAAAAGAAGGTGTGTGATGGGATATATTGTATTAATTAATTAGTGAAGTATTTAAATTATATATTTAATCTGTTTTTACCTGAAGGAATATCCGGCGAACTCCTCCACTTAGACGTGCAAATGGCACTGTTGTAACCAGCATTGCAAAGCCTGCCGGAAACTTCTCTCATTAGGCAGCTCCGGCAACCACTAGCCATCGGTTTCCCACAACCACACTCTGTCCCTTCCCTATTTATCTCCTTCACCGCCTCTTTTGTCACACTCCTAATTCTCGTCTCTAGAGAACTAGTCCTGCACAAGGTCGCCTGCAAAACACGTAACAGATACTTATGTTGTCATACTCTAGATCAATGTATTATCTAACTTCACAGTTTGATAACATAATATTTTTGTATTATGTATACAAATGCATATGCGTAAATAATTACTTGTAAAAGCTGGTGCTGGTTTTCCCAAAACCTCCTGTCCTTCTCCTGATCTCCAGCTTCTTCTTCCTCTTCATCTAACAAGAAGGCTTCATTTACTTGGCTTCCATCGCTACTGCTGCTATAGCTTTCCCGGAAATCTTGACAATCCTCAAGAAACCCGAAAACCATGCCAGAAAAACTCGCCGCCAGTAATTGTTGGGCGGTGGCAGGAGTTGTGGCCATTAAAGAGATCCCACGCTACTATTAATTTCTAGCTGCTACACAAATGGTGTGAGCGTATTGGCATGAACAATGTGAGCAATAACATTGGGCTTAAATACCAAAACCAAAGTTTGGATGATGGTGGAGCCCACTAGACCAAGGTGGACTACAGGTAGCCGCGGCCGCGCACATGAGAGGGGGACGCTATTTACCAACGTGGCTCGATCCAATTCGGTGAGGTAAATCGAAGCGGTTCGGTTGTTTTGTGGTAGAGATTGGGCCGGACAGCAGGGATCCACGTAAGGCACGTCCAATAATTGCGACAGTCTATCTGGATATACTCGAATATCCAGCTTCTGTTTTTATTTCTGGTTTTGTTTTTTATTTTCTACCTCAAATGTTTTTATAAAATAGTGCAGAGGAATAATAAAATAAAATAACAAAAAAAGTGACGATGCATCTCTATCATGATCTTGTGAGTGGTGGGACCACCAGGGCTGGAATGATTGAGATGACACGATGTTTGTTGAGTGTCTTAGATGTTGCAATTTGGATCGATCAGAGCCGTTGATGCTCGAGCTCTATCCGATTAGCGGGGCCTACCTGTCGCTCAACCAACCCATTATTAGTACCTTCTACTTAATATCGTGATTTTTGAATGTCTTTTGCAAGATTAAGATTAGATTTGAGAATGTTACGAATACGCGGCGTCTTGGACTCGCCAATCACATTATCTCTTTCTTTTTCCCCCTGTTTTCCGCATAATTTGAGGGCACTTTCGTCATTTGACGGTCCAATCGTTTGAACCATGCCCAGAATGGGTCTATATGCATTCACTTTGTCCACATGCTAGGGTAACGTACATTTTCTATGTTTTCTGTGATGGATGTGATTGATTTCCAATTTCAATTTCATGTTTAAGAATGGTTTAATTTTCACCTGAAATTAAGGGTACCTAACTAAAATCCGTGAAGTTAGCTATTGATGTAGTAATATTTCTGATTTAAAGCGATATTAGGTACGGATTCATTTTCTAAAGATATACGTAATTATTAGATTTCTGAAGTTTAACGAAAACCTGTCATTAATTTTTTTTGAGCTAACACATAACTCAATATGAAACAAAAGCTATTTTATTAATTATGGCTGCATCAGTCTTAAGTATATTAGACCTAACGCACATGGGAGAGCAAAGCTAAGAAAAAAAATTATATTAATCTTAGGTACCTAGAATTGGTCAAGTTAGGCATCGGTATCTGCAGGTAGGTTATTTAGGTCTTTCACTATAATATTAATTTCAATACTTTTTGGTAAAAATATCACAAAAAAGATTCTAATCCTTTCCAAACATTAACTAAACTATTGTCTAAGCATTGTTGGTTTTGTTTTACATGTTCATACACATCTATTATATTATGTCTAGTTTTGTGATCGTTATCCCATCAAATATCTTTTCCGCATCTTCAATGCTAATCTTTTGATCCCCTTTAGATTAAATAAAAACTCAACAATAAGTATGTTTTTATATGAGAAAGAGGAGATCCGAATTTGAAACATCTTTCACAAGCACTCATATGTAATTAATAAAGTTTTTTTTTTTTTTTTTAAAGTGGGAAAAGCGATAGCATTTTATTGTTAGGAGGATAAATAACTAGTTATAGTATTTTATTGATAATATTTTGTTTATTGGTGCGTAGACTATAGTCATTGTTTATTAATTGTCTATGACTCTATGGTTAGGTAATTAAACCTAATAATACGTTGGCTATACCTTAAACACACAATAAGAAACAAACTCGGAATCTAATTTCACTAAGAATGCAGATACCAATTAACTTTATTAGTCACTTTTTCCCTTCAAACTGTATAATTTATAGTTGCTATTTTGTTTTCAGTCAATTAATTTGCCCTTGAATCTCTTATTTGTATCCCATAAATTAATCATGCCAAGTTTGACCACTTCAACATGAGATGATGATAACAACGACTATTTTTGGCTGGTACATATAGACAAGATTAAACCATCTGATCAATCTAAGAGTTACAGGTGTAAATATATATATAAGTATGGATTTGGACAATAATAATGTATTGAACATGTGTGGAGCCTTTGGATAAAAGCTTGCTCGAAAAAGGATAAGAACAACATAACAGAAGATGCCAGAAGAGAAGGTGACATTTTGGCAACCTTGAATTGTAAACTGTTTGTTAGCAAATCGATCATTTCATTTTCATGGCATGTGTTCAACATGCGTTTGTTAACCTGTCCCAGATCGATCTGTACTGATTATCCAAAACATGCATAACACAATGCCGGTGTTTATCTGAATTCTTTAATGCCATGATTGTGTATGAAGATGATAAGACCATTAATCAATCTGATTAAGGATCTGATCAGCCTGGCTAGCTTGCTAGGTAGGATCCTTATCTGCTATAGCTTTGTTCAAATTGTAATGATCTGGTCTAATTTGGTCGGCTTAAGACAGAAAAGGGTTTGGTTAATTTGGTGTGTCCACTTACCAAGTTTAGAAGCTTGATTGATCAAATGAGCAGTTAATATAAAATGGTATAAAGGTCGCAAAAGTGGGTTAGGCAAGTTGGTTAGTGAGCTCGCCTCCTTCTATCTAAGTTCGACGCTCCTTTCTCGTGATTAGAATAATATAGTTTAGTTTAGACTATCACTTGTTTTAAAAAGGAAAAAATGGTGAAGGTTCTGGTGTAAAAAAAAGGAAGAACTATGAAGGTTCAGTCAGATGATATATTTATGGACTTCTGCCAGCAACATTTGGCAGGGACAATGAGCCACATGATGGCTTGTCAGAAAATTCAAGAACCCCCCGATCGAGTTTCTTTTCTTTTAATTTTGGGCAGCAAGATCCTGAGCTCAAACTACATGATACGACAAAAACCAGAGAGAAATTTTGTGGTGCACGTATAAGCTATCCTGAAATGAAAATGATATGACAGCTGAGCTGAGTTGCATGTCATATATGTGCACTCAGACTTCACGTTCCCAAGCAAAGCAAAGCCAATTAAGGCAACAAGACATTACACTGGCGTCGCATCACTCTCGTCTTTTCTCTCTGTTTTTGTATGTTTTTGGAGGATTGTAAGATATTAAAATAGTTGGTAGAAGTTCATCCCAAGCTAATAATATTTGAGTGGCAAGAGAAGCAAAGCAACCTTTATAGTTGCTTGTTAATTGGAAATAAATCATTTGAAGAATAATGAGAGAGAGAGAGAGATTAGAGAAATGTGGTGAAAATGCAGAATATCAAGAGCTTTGGCAACACTAAAACTGACGTGTAGACCTTCCAACTCCAAAAGCACCCCATCCCTTAGGAAAAAGGAGATACAGAGTACGTCTCCGCTGTCGCACATGCTTTGTCCATTCTCAGTATATATATGTATATGTATGTATGTACGTATGCAGGTTTGTTATATGTATATATGAATGTATGTGGATGCATACATAGTTCGATTGGTTGTTGACGGACAGAAACACGGGAATGAAAATCTTCCATTCTCATCTCTTGGGAATATGCATTATCGTTTAATTCCCATTCCATAAACCAAATGAGCCCCAATTGTATGCTGCCGAAGCTTGTCGCAACTCGAATAGGCCCATTCGCGAGAACAATACAATATAGTCCAAGCGATCACCTCTGAAGTTCATTGGTAGCCCAATGGGCCTGTCAGTCGAGGTAAACATATCCCGGGTCCCAGCCTCCTAGGCCAGGCCTAACCATCTGAAAAGACCTTTAAACCCACAAAAGCTAGGGACAGCCTAACCTGACCCTACATATTTGATTAAATATGAATTGATGTGGCTTTTTGAAGTGGATGATTCTAATTTCTACCAACCTTTCCTACCTAACAATATGAATACTGATGGTCAAGTTGTAACAACGCCCTGACCCAAACAAAAACAAAAAAAAGTTGTAACAACGCAAGAGCTTTCACTCATAGCAAATCGTGGGGAAAAATTTCTCTTGGGGAAAAATTTCTCACTCAGGCCGTTACTCAATTGCCATCTAAAAGTTGGTGTCGTGACTCTTAAGGGCACTTTAACCTATTTTATTTTATCAAAAGAGGATTTGGGCTTCAAAAATAATTTCCACAAAGGAAAAGTTGCCATGGTAAGAAGTAGGCCCACGAAATTGGGGAATACTTGCCTGGGCAAGCTGACGTCAGCGTGATATCATCAACCAATTTAAATACCAAAAAATTCAGTAATTTTTTTTCCTATAAATACCTAGTCATGCTCTTCACATACCAAAATCCCTATAAATTTGCCTCTTCATATCTCATGTAAATAGTAGTTGTCCTTGGATTGCTATGTCAATGAATGGAAATGCATCAAAAAATTGCTAAAGGAGTCACAATAGTGAAAAAAGACAACGTAACTTTATTAGTAGTAACATGATGTGCATGTTAAGCTAAAAATCACTCGTATTATGTTGTAAAGTATGCTATAATACATATGTACGGTTCTGATTTGCAAAGAGAGAAAAAGAAAAGACTCCTCTACATCACCCAATCCAATGAAAATGAATGAATATATGTGGAAGGAAAAAAGAGCAAAAGGAAAATCCCCTATCCATGTGGTGGAGCTAGCTAGTTATCTTTCGGGTAATCTTCCATGGATATATCGGTAGTCTTGTTCATGTAAAATTTGAGGGGTTAAGACAACTTCAGACCCGTACGTAACTCCGCCGTTGCATTTGGTGCGCAATGGAAATTCACCTGCCCTCCAACATGCTAGTATTGGACCAAGACAGAGACATTGAAGTGGATATGGACTGCTTAATGTCCTCAAAAGTTGGGTGTGCTGATCCATACCCAAAAATTTGAGAAAAATTAGACCGCATCTCTTTGGATTGCAATTTGTGGAGCAAATATGCATCCATATCCTCAGTTTCAGACTCCTCCGGCTGATCATTCTTCCCCTCCAAGACTTTGACCACTTGTCTCATTGATGGTCTTGCATTTGGTTCAGGATATGCACACAACAATCCCAAATGCAGCACTCTCTCCACTTCCTCCTCGTTGAACTCTCCTTTAGCCCTAAGCCTCTCATCAAACGCATCCATTAATTTG